GGTATATGGGGCTGGCGCCTTACTCACTGAGCCACAGGTGCCTCCCATGGGTTGTTAATAGAGTAGGCTCTTTTTCAGAATATGGCTACTTTTTCTTAATTTCTCCCTTGTTGCAAAGAGATTAGATCCCGGCTATATTATTTGATTCTTTCTTTTAGAGATTTTGTGGTTATAGTTTTGCTGAAAGCAAAAGTAAAACCGAAATGTCTGTTAGTAGCAGAATGTGGATTGAATTGTGGCATATTATATAATGGACATTGTAAAGCAGGTACAGTGAATGAACTAGAGCTAAATGAAACAAAATAAAATGGAAAAAGGGAAAAAGTTGAGTTGTAAAATGATAGTATAGTTTTATATTATTTCAAATTTTTTAACAGGGAGGACAATGCTAATATATTGTTTAGAGATGCAATAGTAGTAAATGTAAGAGAGTATTCAAGGGAATAATAATTCCTGCATTGTTGACCAGTCACAAGTTAACTCGTGTTTTCATGCCCAAGCGTTACTGACTGATCACGAGTTAACGTGTGTTTGCACCTGCATTAGCTATTGCAATTTATAAAACACAGGGTAATGCAGGATATTTAAAAAGCTTTCTTAATCACGTTCAGTTGTGTTCACTTTTTATAAAAAGATTATTTTTCTAGGTAAGCAAGTTTTTATCACAGTTCTAGTATTACAAACATTTCAACTATGATAGATTGTGACGGTGGAGAATTTTTCAATGAATTATATGCAGATCATCTGATTGAGTGATTTTAAAATATTTTGTAGTGATCTGGAAAATGATAGTTTATTGGAAGACAATTATAAATCTGATGTTAGACTACCAGAATGGCAAAAAAGAAATGTAACAGTATCTAATAGTGAAAATGATTTTGAAGAAGAATGGATTGAAAATGATATTACATTAATTTTGGAGGATTGCACAAATATTTTGTGTGTGACTGTTGAATTTAGTGATCCACAGAGTACTGCAAAGTGGTAGATTTACTTTTTATTAATGATTATTTTTTATTTGGATGTTTTTCAAATCAATTTATACTACCACCAAAGGGAACAATTTTATAAAAACCCTGCTAAAACTTTACCATGGACAGAAGTTACCACTAGTGATATAAGGAAGATTCTTGGTTTATGGATATTGATGGGACAAACAAAAAAAAAGTCACATTGGAGAGATTTCTGATCAATGGAGCCTTTACTGGAAACACCAATATTTCTAAAAACTATGACCAGAATAAGGTTCGAGCAAATCCTTGCATTTGTTCATCTTAGTGTTAACTCACAAATTGTATCTACTGAAGACAGACTTTATAAAATTAGAAGATAGGTACAAAGTTTCACTTCAATTCGTTCTGTATAAATAAAGTGTAGTGAAGTTTGTTTAGATTTTTTCATATTCAATTATGGAATAATAGCTATGACATGGGGTAGCTTCTGTGTAAAATTGCCAGTCAACACTGTGTTAAGATAGTGTTTTGGGGGATTCCAGGGGAAGGCTGTGGGATCTCATATAGGTACACCTGGGGCTTCAGCCATGTTTGTAATGGGGAAACAGGATCTGAAGGAAGACAGCAACTTGTTAAGACTTGACAAAGCTAGGTGGTAGATTCGCAGGGAGGATCGTATAATAGTATCCTCTATTCTTTTCCTTTATACTTTAAGTACTTTAAGGCGAGGGATTTTATTCGGTTCTCAACTTGAGAGTCAAGACCCATTTATAACAATGAAAGTATACGCTGCATATTAGCTATTTACATTATGATTCATAACAGTAGCAAAATTATAGTTATGAAGTAGCAACAAAAATAATTTTATGGTCACCACAACAAAAAACAACAAAAAAATGACAGGTCTGACAGTTTAGTATCAAAATATAATCATTATTTCCACCAGAAGGACCTCTGTTAAGAATGTAGCCACAGCGGATAAGTTTACACTGCCTACCTTGTCAGAAATCTGGGACTCTCCAAATGCCCCATCTTTGATCATAGTCTGTACAGTTTTCTGGGTCTGGGGTGCAGCTAAGAAAGGGCATCAGGCAGTTGTTTTGGGTAAACCAATTTGACAGTTCTTAAAGAACTCTTGGGTCCACCTATCAAAATTGTCCTTCAGACTTACTGTGGGTTAATCTAATATGGTACAGTTGGTTTTTTTACACAGCAAACCAAAGGAGGTGGTAAAGTTAGCTGTTCTTCAGGCAACTGGGGTATCTTGACTGGCAGTACTAATGGACACTCAAGGAAGTTACAAGACATTAAAGTTGCACCTGTTACTTTATGAGTGGGGCTCAAACAGGAAATCCCTTGTCATTGTCTTGTGCTAAAATATCTCTCTGTTTTCATTTAGGCCAGAAACCAGGCAATTTCCCTGGTGATAGGGACCTAATTTGGGAGACACAGGGTACTGTGGCATTCAGAGGTGATGTGCTGTACATGCATGCCAGTGTGAATTTGTGTGTAAGAGACAGGCCCTTTGGACCCCTGTAAATGTAGTGGAAATTTACAAAAGGCAGAAAAGGGGGAACCTTCAAAGAAAGTACTGATTCAGTGGATCTTAGCAGCCAAGAACAGCTTCTTCTGATCTAGTTTCTTCATGATGTTCTGCAGCCACCTACATGGAAGATGTTACTATTCCTATTTTAAAGATGAAGAAATTTGAGTTAAGGAGGTGAAAAAACTTGGCCACCAACACAGCTTGAAGGTGGTAGAGCTCATACAGATCTGCCTTATGCAGAGTCTCTAGCTTTTTTCCTTTTTGCTATACATTACATTATATATATAAAGATAGAGGATGAAGAAGATATTACCTTCCTGTTTAGTTTTTTGGTTCCTTTGTAGATGCATTTGTTATTGTTCTATGAAGTGTTATTCTTGATAAGTTTAACAAATGTTTCATGTATGTCCAGATGTGTATGTACTGAGATAAAGAGCTACGTAGCAGGAGAGAATCTTTTTACTTTTTGGTAGAGACCAGAAGCCAAACAGCATTTTTCCTGTATTGAGTTTAAAGGGAAATAAATAACATAGAGGAAGGAACTAGTGCTGGGTGAGTAGAGAGTCAGAATGGAGATGGATGATAGGGAAAGGGGAGAGAGGCACAGGTCCGGGAAGAGGACGGCACAGTGACAAATAAGGCAGGGAGTGTTGGAGAGCCAGAGGGAGCTTGGGTACAGGTCGAAGCAGAAGTGTGCTCGCCCACGGTAGGCAAGGTGAAGTCCTTCTTGCCTTGTATTTGTGGTTCTTTCTCCCCTTTTCTTTCAAACAGATGAAAAATTAGTTAATTTGAGAAACCATAAATTGATGCTTCGATATGATGGTCTGTCCTTTTTATCACTTTATGTTAACTAATTATTGGTGGTTTCTAGGTTGCTCTCAGTGAAGATGACTTGACAATTTTAATGAAAATTTTGCTAGAAAATCTTGGAGAAGCTTCTTCACAGTCAACCCCTACACAGTCTGTGCAGGAAGCTGTGAGAACGAGAAAAATAGATGCTGCAAGTGGACTTGACCACCTCGGAGGTATAAATTGATGAAGATGGTTTGCTTTGATGATGGAGAAAACTTAGCATTAATGACACATTTGTATTTAGTGGGCATTTGTCCAGGGTAATGTGGCACCAACTGTCTCAGTTCTGTACTATTTACTGTGGAAAGTCTTCTGGGGCTGGGGCTGGGGCTGGGGCTGCCTCTCGGATGTCCCAGGGAGAAAGGTATGCACTGCTACGGTGGTGGGTGGGGAGGGTCCCTTGTTGCCTGCATGGTGCTTGTTTAATCTTTATTTATGAAAGTAAAATTAGCTGAATTCACTAGACACTGGGGTGGTGTACCATAAGAGAAAAATCAAAGTAAGCATGCAGTGTAGCAAGGTCTCAGGATAATTAAGAGAGAAAAGGAACTTGGTACACATATTGTACTCAGATGAGTGAACCATGAGAAAGATATTCTTACACAGTGACAGCTTTACTTATCTGGCCATATTGGAGAATTCAAAATACACCCAGGCTGAATTCAGAAGAACGACTAGAACAATGTGCAAAGTAGTATTTCTTGCTTAAGTGAATAGTCTTCAATGTTGTGTGAGCTTTATGAGGCCAGCATTCCCTCCCCATGTGGGGCTTGTGCCACTGTATAGGCAAATACTAGATGAGCAGGTTGTTGTTATAGTTAGAGCAGAACTATGTTGAGTTTAAATAAACTGTAACAAGCAACCTTTATGTGATTCATGATCTCAGTCCATAGAGCTGTGATCACATTCATGTATCTGTTTCTTATTTTGTGGTTAACAGTGGCCTTGGGAAACTTTGTTGAGTACAAATGAAAGCTGTAAAGATGATGAAGACTGAGTATAAATTATTTGTACGATAAGTGGAGAAGAAAATCTCAGGGTTTTCTAACTTGGAGAAGCTTTTCATAATTAAAGTTATGCAGTGTTTGCTATTCCAGTAACTTATAAAAACAGATTTTCCTATAGAATGACCAAAAATTAGAATCAGTGTCCAGAAAGATGTTAGAATCACTGTTAGAGTGATTGAAAGCCAGGTCAGTTCACTCTTCCTATCCATCTAAAGGTGAAAGAAAAGACCAGGTTGTTTCTTGAAGTCTCTTTCATCTCAGAATTCCAAAGCCTCCCCCAGCTCATCATATTTGGGTTCTGTTTGACTCTGCTATTGATTTACTTTCTGTCCTCCTTATAGAGGTAATGAGTTGGGTATATATCGTATTTGCCATGTATAATGTGTTCCCAGGTATAATGTACATCCATATTTTTGATCCAAACTTTCAGGAAAAAAACTTAACATTTTTAATTACATTTTTTTAAGGGAAATCACATTATCAGAATATTAAATATTTGTACTTGTTTTGTATTATGAAGGAATTTTAGCATTTGTTTATAACATTAAAGAATAAAAAATTTATGTAACAAATAATTACAAAACACAAGAGCAGATAACAATGTACAAGAAATTTTATGTATTGGGAACAAATAGTACTATCCATGTATAACGTGCATCCTTATTTTTTCCTCAAAAATTTGGGCAAAAAAGTGCTCATTCTATGCAGCAAAATACGATAGGTAATTAAAGTACAGTGAGAAGTACACCAGGCCTGCAGAAAATCTGTTATTAGCCCTCTAATGTAGGGCATGACTTCAGTACCTCTAATTTCATCATCTCTTCAACCAGTTGGGTGAAAATGCATTGGTCATTATAAACCAGGAGTCCTCAAACTTTTTAAACAGGGGGCCAGTTCACTGTCCCCCAGACTGTTGGAGGCTGGACTGCTGGCCCCGGGATGAGTTGGCTGCTAAGCCAGACAGGCAGCAGCGGCAAAAACACCCGGCGGGCCAAATAAATGTCCTAGGTGGGCCGCATGTGGCACGCGGGCTGTACTTTGAGGATGCGTGTATGCTCTATAGTAAGTAAAGTAGTCTTTCTAGGCAGGGATTTTCTTTTAAATTGTCTATATACACTTTGCAAGGGATCCCTCTTTTTTTGTTGTTGTTTACAAGGTAGATATTCTGCCTCTGCCATTTTGCACTAAACTAAATATATATGGAGTAATCATTGCCATTTTCATTAATAGCTCATAATATGATTTAGAGAATCCTGAAATGCATGATACACATTTGAAATAATGAATTACCCCAGATTTTTAAGTATATAGAAAATTACATAGCTACTGAAAAGCTTTTTAATTTTCATATTTATGTTTGAACCATCAGAACAGGAGGATTTGACAGACTCAAACCTTTCTGTGGACCAGAATGTCATGCTACAATTTGACTTTCACTTTGAATCTCTTTCCATTATTCTTTATAATAATGATTTCAACCAGGTATGTAATAAATTTCTATAGCTTAAGTGCTAAGCTCTTAATATTCAGTTTTAGAATATTGACATTTTGTAAATGTGACTATTTAGCAATAATTTTAATATCTATAAAATTCTACATGGCCTGTGGGCCACACAGTGGTCCTTCTCTCTGTCTTTACTGGTGTTTTTAGTCTTACAAAGTTAAGGGAAAGCACTCAGGGTTTTATTTCTTTCTACATAACATCAGTACCAAAACACATTTTGATTTATCACTAATAGAGTGATTAATTATATAGCTAGGTACGTATGTACATTTTACTGTTTTAAAATGAATAATTTAGATGATTATGTTAAAATTCATTCATGACATTTAAGTATTAATTATGTATCTACTGAATAAATTTTACATGTAGTATATGTGTTAAGGATGCCAATTAAAGAATTGAAGAACCTAAGTCTTATGTCATAATGAATCTGTATTGATCATCTGTCTTAGTCCACTTGCATATGTTCACTCAGATTTTATTTTGTTTTCTAAAAAATGTATAGTATTCATACATTGTTACTGTTGAGTTTTGGTCTAGTATATGTCATTTGTGTAATGAACTGCCTTAATTTCTTATGTTTAATATTCATTATAGGGAGTGAAATGTATTCTTCAGTTTACTTAAGGTACCATCATTCTCCTGGTTCCTTAGCCTTAGAATTTTACTGTCTTTTACTTCCTTCTCTGTCCACCTTATTCCTTTACAAACTGAGTGTTGTCAGTTTCTCTTTGAATGACATTTGTTCTTTTCTGTCAGTTCTCACTGATGCTTTATGTGAGGCTCTCAGCTCATGCTTGGAGTACTGCAATGACTTCCTCATTTGTGGTTCTTTTTGCTTGCATCCATCCTAGATGTTGGCACAAGTTCAATTTCCTAATTGAATCTCAAACGGCCATTTCCAACTTTCTAGTCTACTTAAAAAATTCAATGTTATATTATTTGAATTTCATTTCATGAAAAAAAATAATTTCTTTAAATTGTCTACCTGAGGATATGCTGTCTATAACCAAATCAGGAAAACATTAGTGTGTTGTGTTCAGTAGAGTGTCTCAGGTCATTTCTACTAAAGGCTATAGAAGAGAAATCTGTGAATTACTTCTGTTTTTATAAATTAGAGAGATTCAAAGTTTTCCAGTAGTAATGCCATTCTGACCCACTTTCAGCAATACACTATCTTGAGGGAGAGAAGTTATGAAGTTCTAACTGTTGTCCTAGAGATTACACATAATTACCACACTTTTATCGATGTCATGGTCTTGAATGTACAACTGTGATTGATATTTTTCACTTCTCTGAAGGTTTTTTGTTTGTTGATTGGTTGGATCTGGGCATACCTGGAGAATTGGGAATTATATGTTATTGTGGAATCAAAATTGAGGCTCTTTTTCTACAAATAAAAGTTTAAATGTTGAGTTTGGGGTTTGAGATCTTGATTAGGCCTCTATATTTCTTCCCAGCCTTATTCCCCACCATTCTCTAATTGCAATATTCAAGCCTAATCACCCTGTACCTGTATTCTCAGACCATTTTGAATTGTTTGTTCATGTCTTTTCCCATGTAGGGTGTCCTCTGCCACCCTCTTAGCCTGTGTGACACTACTCAGCTTTTGAGGCTCCGTGAAGTTCTCATCTTCTTCATGAGTTTTTCCCAGCCCACGATGATCTACTGCAGTGGTTCTCAACCTTTCTAATGCCATGGCCCTTTAATACAGTTCCTGTGGGTCACGACCCACAGGTTGAGGACCGCTGATCTACTTGAACTCTCTGATTTACTAGTCTGCTCTTTAACCACTTAATATCCTTCCTGGAATGTGAGAAAGATTAAATATGAATAAATAAATTATGTCACAAAGTATGTCACAAAGTATTTGGCCATTTGTAACAACTTAGAGCATTTCCTTATACATAGATTTCTATTTTGTTTTCTTAGACAGGGAGATAGGGTATCTGCTCACTGATACTACCCCCTATGTCTTATCCTTTCTCATAAACCCCATAGTTCTAATGCAATAGTTTTTGCAGAAGATATCATTAAATCTTTATTAGTTAGATTGATTGACAAAAATCTTATCCTTTTTTCTTTTGTGTTGAACTGTAAATAAGATGGATTTTTATATATTAACCATTGTTGAATACCTGCACACATATATATGTATTTATTTGTATGTACATATATATTCATAAACATGCATATTATCTTTTGTTCTATTTACATGTTTTAGCATCCATACTTTTAAAATTTGTGAGATCAATTTGCTTGTAAGGTTTGAATTAAGTAATGAGATAAGGGGACTATCATTGGGTATACTTGAAAAGTAATTACATAATATTTAAAGATAGCTGATTCATTTGCTTGAAAAATATTTCATAGGAGTCCAAACTTTCATTACATAATGACAGTTTCCGGCTTGGCGAACTCAGACTACATCTTATGGCCTCTTCGGGGAAGATGTTTAAGGATGGTTCGATGAATGTTGGCATTAAACTTAAGACTTGTACCCTTGATGATCTCAGAGAAGGCATTGAGAGAGCAACTTCGAGGTTTGTCAGCTCTGAATTGCTACACATTTTTTAAAGTTGACATTGCATCTGGTGTTGCTACCAGGCATTGCTAGGCTAGGGATCATCAAAAGAGATTTCTGTCTTTTGGTCACACTTCCTCGCTTGAATTACATCAAAAAGAGGTGCTAATAAGTAGATTCAGCTATTTTAAAGTTTACATTAAAGGGAAGTTTAATAACAAAAGGAAGTATTGTCTTAAAAGTAGAAACTAGAAGAATTTAAGAGTTCTAATAATTAATCTACATGGGTGATATTTTAGTAATATATTTTTTATATTTCTCCCCAGGAGGCAGAATATTTTTTTTTAAAGCCTTTCAGGTTATAGATATTTCCTTTGTCTATATTGTTTAAGTCTTTTAAAAACAGTTCTGCAAAATGTCTTTTGAAATTTTAATAGAAGTAGAATCCTAAGCTTATTCACATTATCAACCCATTCTGGGGAGAGTAGTGGCCAGCAGTGATGCTTGGCTTTTTCCCAGATTATTCTGTCCTTAGTGCCTAGCACTTTAAACCCTATGCTCTATCCTGCAATGTTGCTACTAAATTTGGACTCCATTTATGCATGCATACTGGGTATTTCTGAGCCCTTTGTTTTTCTGAAAGATTAGTAAATAAGAGTGCCCTCATGCAACTAGCTTTTCCAGTTTGCAGGTTTCATGTCTCATGTAGCTGTCACAGCTCTTTAGTTCTTTGGTAGCATGCTTTTTCCAGCACGTGCCAGGTGATAAGGGGACTATCATTGGGGACACTTGAAAAATGCTTGCTAGTTTGAGTTTCGTTAAATACTTTGGGATTCAAATTTTATAGAATAATATTTGGAGATAAATTCCTGCAGGGGAGCTTTTATTTCATAAAGTAATATAAAAAATTTTCTTACATTTTGTATAACCACATAGATATGTTTTGTTAATTGCTCAGTTTCCTTTCTAGCAGTCATTGATTTGTTTCCCCAGTATTGCATTATATTTATATTCTGTAATTGCTTAATAACATGGACCTTGCTTTGGGGATTAGGAGACCATGTATTGGTTGCTAAGGAATAATTTGATTCCAGTTAATACTAACCTGTTTTCTATTCAGATTAGAAACTGAATGGTGAAAGAAAGATTATTGAATTATATAGGAAAATTCTAGTTTTTTAAAACTGTTTTAGCAGAAATAAAATAATGAATGGTATATGTTTTTTTCAGAATGATTGACAAAAAGGATGACCAAGATAAGAAAAGTTCTATGATTGATATAAGTTATAAACAAGATAAAAATGGAAGTCAGATTGATGCTGTTCTTTGCAAGCTGTATGTATGTGCCAGTGTGGAGTTTCTGATGACTGTAGCAGATTTCTTTATCAAAGCTGTGCCTCAGAGTCCAGAAAATACGGCAAAAGAAACACAGATCTCAAGACAGACTGCCACAGGGAAAGTTAAGACAGAGAAAGGTTAGCAGAATTTATCTGTCATAGATGACAACTTGTATATTTTAACTAAAGTTGTAAACAAAAAGAAGTGAGAATCTAAGAATGTAACATTAATTTTTCTTTCAGATTTAAACATTTTTTTTTGCAGTTTTTGGCCAGGGTTGGGTTTGAACCCGCTACCACTGGCATAAGGGGTTGGCACCTTACTCCTTTGAGCCACAGGCGCCACCCTTAAACATGTTTTATATAGAATCTTCAGTAAGCAAATGTTTTTAAGAGAGAAAAATAGTAGAAATTGGATTAGGGACCAGGAAACTCTGCTCTGGTTGCCATTAACATATCTTTACCCATCCAGAAATATAGGTAGCTAATCTGGGTCAGTGGTTGACAGCCTATTTTATAGGAGGAAAAACTTTTATTCAATGAAAACATTTTGAAAATTCTAGCATATTTGAAGAGCAACTGAAAATATACAAGCAGAAGATGGAGACATTGGAGAACCCAGCATTACTCCCCTGGATATCACTTTAACTCCCTAGACTAGTCCAATAGTTAGGAAATTTCTGGTCTAGGTGTACACTGAGGCCACTTTCAGTTCTATATTTCTTTTATTCCAGTGTTACTAAACCTGTCAGTGGGGTTTTTTATGTTAATTGTCTAAGTTCAGACATTTTTCTAATATATACAACTCTGCAAACTAACATTTTTGGAATGTAATAACTCGGGAAAACTAACATTTACTCACAAGGTAAGAATGTTGTATTTTTATTTATCTTTAATGTTTCTTAAACAGTGATCATATCTGGTAACTTTGTACTCATATAGGCGTTGAATGTATATATTTATACTATAGATTACATGACAGTGATGATGGACTTTGGGTGAAACCAAAGTAAACACATAACAGTTGTCTACTTATCAGGGACTCTTTCCTCTTCCTGATATTCCCTTCTCCACTTTTCTCCTCCTTGCCCCTGCAGTATAATATATACTCACGTATATTGAAAACAAGTTAGCAACTTGCAGATAAGGTGACAAAATTTACTTGAAACTTACTTGGTTCCTGTTTTGTTTCTTCAGATGACTCTGTAAGACCAAACATGACTTTAAAGGCCATGATTATAGATCCAGAAGTGGTGTTTGTTGCCAACCTGAAAAAGGCTGATGCCCCTGCTCTGGCAGCCTCATTCCAGTGTAACCTCTCTCTGTCAACTTCCAAACTGGAACAGATGATGGAAGCTTCTGTGAGAGATCTGAAAGTGCTCGCTTGCCCTTTTCTTAGAGAAAAGAGAGGGACAAACATAACCACAGTAAGAATTACCGTGTATCCTAATCTTGGATTGAAGAACTGCAGACGTAGTTGGTTCATAGAATCCTAGAATACGAGCTCTGTAGAGGATGTTAGGGATTATTTATTAACAAAGTTGGAGTTTACAGATGAGGATGTTGAGTTCCAAAGATGTTAAATGACTTAGCCGTGGATACTAGTGGCAGAACTGGGGACTATCTCCAGATTGGTTTTGTTTTCGTATATCATCCTCTGTTAAAAAGTATTTGAATTTTAGTATAAATCAATATTCTTTTTCAGTTGTTTTCTTTCATTCACCATAGTATATCCATTGAATGAATA